AGGACGCTACTAGGGGCTCCTGGCATCGCTACTAGGAACAAGGACGCCACTAGGGGCTCCTGGCATCGCTACTAGGAGCAAGGAACGGTCTTGACCGCGGTCGTTCACGCGGTGAAACAGAGCTAAGCGGCTACTTACAGCTACCTACCGAGCTCAACCTCAAACCATTCAGCGGCTTGAGCCAAAAGTGAAACACATGCAACTACAAGAGGGCTACGCGTGCTCGGAGGAACTAAAGTGGCTGCGGCTCTTCAAGCTGCTTGCGTAGCCCGCGGCAGCGGTCCGAACGGGATCACGCTACCCGCAGGGCCAGCCTGACAAGTCAGTCCGCGGAAGCCGAACTCTGCTTCCTGCCTGCTTTCGGCCTCTGGCCCTGCGAGGATTGGAAGTCGGCCTCATCGAACACCTGGCTCTCTTCCCAATCCTCTTCGAAGTGCTCCTTGTAGGCTTGGAACACTTGGTGATCCACATCAGCGGTGATCACCACTCCGGATTCCCTATTGGCCTTTGAGCTTGTAGTCCAGTTACAGCTCCCGACCACCAAGTGCCCAACCTTCCAATTTTCCACGAAGCACGTTTTCGAGTGCTGGATCCCTTTCAAGCCCGACCCTGCGGTTGTCGACCTGCTGTCCTCTGCATAGGCCTTGCTCAGGGATCTTCCTCGGCATACTCGGATTCTATGTCCGGCGTTTCGGAGCATCGTCAGGCCCTGAAGTTGCATTTTCGTACAAGACTCGTGTGTCATCCCAGCATCCTATAGGATTCGCACGAACCCCTGATGACCCTAGATCATCTCGACCATATCTGGCTGGTCGAAACTGTACGCCGTAACTCGTACGGACGCTTTAGGGTTCTGCTGCAAAGGCACTCAACAGCTCGAACCTGCGCCTCCTTGTTTTGGACGTATTTGATCTCCAGGTTTTGGGTGGCAGGAGCGTTTTCCAACCCCAGCTGGACGTTCAAACCAGCGGTTGTGCTTCTTTTGCCACCCGATCATCTGGCTTCAACTGCGTCTGACGAGTCATCTTGCTGACTCCCAAGACAACAAGTTTCTGACCCCTGCGAACCCGGAGGCGACGACGGCTTCGACCACGGTTACAGCCTTCTTCGCCGCCCCTTCAAAACATACCCTCCTATTCTTCCTGTCACCTGCACAATCTACCGAGACCTCCTCCACCTCGGCTATTGTCCTCTGGGCATAGGACGTGAGCGCGTCAACAACTTCCTCTGCTCCCTGTTCAGTCCGCCAGACCAGCGGAACTGCAGCCAAGAAGGCCAGCGTCTTCATCCAGCCAGGGCCGTTCCCATTCAGCGCACGCTGAAGGCGGTTACGGCTCCTTTTCCGTTTTGCTTCATAGGCCGCTCGCAGAGATTCTTTCACCGGGGCCCACTCTCTGGACTCCTTGAACTCTCCTTCGCATTTCTCTCCGTGCAAATACCCCGTGCAAACCCACGCATCTGGGTTGTTGACTGTGGCGCGCCAGCAGCAGACCCACGAACCCCAGACGCACCTCACGTCTAGAGTGTCGTCAGGCCCCAGCGCTCTCCTCCCTCGAGCCGCTCTTCTCCGCGCTCTCTTGCGCGATCCAGCTGAGCCGCAGGTTGGCTTCACGAGAGCCCGCGACGGTCCTGCGATGTTCTGCGGCCCTGACACGCGATTTGGCTTCGCGCTGAGCTGCCTCAAGCTCTTCCCTGTCCCTCCGGCCTCGCGCGCCTCAGGCGCCGCTGTGTGCCTCGCATCGAGCCCAGTCGCGCCCGCAGGTGCATCGGAAGCAGCTGTATACGGCTACAGCCACACACCTGAGCTCTCTTCCTTCTGGCCTTAGTTCTGAAAGGCTTGAGCCGTAGTCATACTGCGGCTTGCTCCCTTCCGGGACTGGCTCAGAACCGAGCCGAGACCGGAGGAGTTGATTCGCAGCATATACGCCTCCGCGCCTGCCTTCATCAGGCCTTCCAGACGTTCTCCTCGGGCGGCATCTGCAGCGGTGCCTCCCTGAGAGTGTTCTGCCAAGGTGGCAGCCTGCGATGAAGTCTGGACACTGCTCACCGACCGGCAGATCTTCGAGGCTTAAGCGCCACCCTGTCGTGACGATGTCATCCGCCGCGACGCGGCAGCTGCAGCACGCTCCCTTTCATAACGGGCCTCCAACTTGAACATTTCGTCTATGCGCCGGTCGCTGACCAGGTGGTCATCATCAAAAGGACATTTTGCTTTTATTTGATTCCTGACCGACTCGTGCGCAGCCGGCGACATCCATCTTTCTGCCACAACTCCTTTGGCGTGTGGACCCACCAGAAGTTTGGCGGCTCACCTTCATACCCTTTCGGGATTCGAGCCCTAGGCCTTCTTGCGGGCGCAGGCGAACGTTCTCGTTCTGGCGCTTCCTTAACCTCCTCTTGAGCTTCTGCAACCGCCGTTCCAGGGCCTGGAACACCGGAATCGAGAGTTGCGAACATCGGCGTCGTCCGCTCCGGTGAAGGCCCTTTTGACCTCAGATGGCAGGGAGGGAGCACCGTCCGTGTCACGCACTTCCTGGTCATCCGCGTCCTGGGCAGACCGTCCAGTGGGTCGTGAGCCGCGCGGTTTGCGAACCGCCGCCGGCCAGCAACCCGAAGTCGCAGATCGCCGACACCTTTTCCAAATCGGTGCCGTGCCACATGTGCGAGAATGGCGACAGCCGGCGTTCACGGAGGCTGCTCACCTCCGCTTCCTCGTAGACAGCGCTGGCATCAGCTATCCCGAGGTCTGCGCTATGCCCGCAAGGCTCGGACGCGTGTCCGGTCCTCACTCAGCTGCAGGCGCGGCTTCACGTTCCCGGCATCAGCTTCCACCGCCTGGGTCAGCCAGGAATTCCGGAACGCCAAAGAGCTGCGAGGACCGCGACAAACGGATCCACCCTCCTTTCATTGCGGACGCGCAGTGCCCGAACGCTCCATGGCGGCACGCTCTGGTCAAGCAGTACCCCATCTCATGTTCGACTTGCTTCCTTTGCGTTTTCCTTTTCCGCCCATCCTTCCTAGCTCCGCGCCGCGGCCCTGAAGACAGGAACCAACGGCCACGGGAGCAAGGACCTGCTGGTCACCCAAAGATGACCAACTCAGACGCTCGAGGGTCGAGAAGCGCTCAGAGCTCAACCCACTCCGCCCGGCCCCGCGTCCCTCCCGCGGGCCGAACCAAAACGGCTGCGGAGGAAAGGGACGTGGAAAAAGGGAACAAAAAAAACCAAAAACACAACATGCACACGACCCGAACCAGACCGGAACCACCGACGAACCTAGTTGGGCGGTTACGCGGCGGTTCTGGTCCGAAACGACCGGGTTCGGAAGCGTGCGGAAGTCGAGCGCGGAGGAAGTCGAGCCCCAACAGCTGCGTTCGGAGAGAGTGCGTTTGGGTGAAGCAAGCTGGGGGCTCCTGGGGACATCGCTACTAGGAGCAAGGGCCTTAGTACTAGGAACAAGAAGCTACTAGGGGCTCCTGGCATCGCTACTAGGAGCAAGGGCCTTA